TAGCTCATTTGTTACTACCAAAGTGCCTCTTTGAAATAAGGGGTTTATTCTTTCCAGCTTACATTGCTTATAAGTGACAGTGTTCTAATCCCCAGTACTTTTCACTCACCATGACCTAAGAGGAGCACAGCAAGAAGACAGTGACAATGTGAATTTGATCAGACAAATGAAACAAATAGGAGCATAAAAGGGTGGGGAGGGGGAGGCAAGGAAGGAGACAGGAGTGAGAATGAGAAGTTCTTTAGGGCCATGGAGCAGCATGTCCTTGTCGCCTGCTCACGCTGTCTTGTCCTGGCTGATTGAGTCCAGAGGGACATCCACCAGCAAGGCTCGCTTCCACCTCATGCAGCGCTTGCGAGGGAGCCCAGAGCAGCGATGACACAAGGAGGATGCCTCCTACTGCTCCCTGGAGCTGGAAGGATGTCAGATCTGAATGGCTTACATTTAAATGTGTCCTCCAGGTAGTGCTCTAACTTTACATGGGCTTTGCAGAAAAGGCTGTGATCCTGGTTCACTGGGAAGCAGATGAGATCTGTCACAGGGTAGGAAAACACAAGAAACATATCCAAATGTAAGAAAAATGACAGCTTTTTACTTGTGGATCACTTGCATAGCATCTGTCTCCATGTGCAGGGGGCTTGCACGTTAGTTCAGTTGTTTAAGCACCTCAGTTGTTATTCTGGAAAACCCAGTCAGGCGCATGGACCCCAGGTCGATCCCCACCTCCACCTGCCTTATCAGACCTGCCCTTATGGCAGCCTGAGCCAGCCAAAATAAAATAAAATAAATCCATGTGCACATGAGCTGGTATTTCATCAAAATAATAAAAATTATATCTAATATTTATTGGGCATTTGCATTTATGTGTGATGAGCTTTACACCCACTTAATGAGGAGGAAGAGTCCAGTAAGTTAGTACTAGTATGAGTAACCACTTTATGTTTTTACTTCACAAGATTTTTAAAATTTTATTTATTTATTATTAATTTTATTGAGAAACTAATAGCAATGAGAGTTTCAAAGACAATCAGTAGGACAAAAATAACCACTTTAAAGATGAGCATACTGATCTTAAACATCTTAAGGTCCTTTAGCTGGTAAATGGTGAAACTGGGATTTGAACCCTGGACCCTTACTGATACCATGCTCTAGGTTTCCCTAGGACAGTGACTATGAATGTATATCTCTAATGTGTCTACATTTTTTTAACATTAATACTCCAGAAAAAAAGGAAAGAGAGGGAGGGAGAGGAGAGGAAGGGGATACGATAATTACTTGGAGGGATACTGTAATTACGCGTAGACCGTCATCACCCTTGAAGAGAAAGAGGCATGCCCTGAATGAAAGGAAGCCACTGAGGTTGTTTGAAGCCACCATGGCCAGAAAAAACAGCAGGGAAAAAGGAGACTTATAAAACGGTAGTATAGTGTATTAAAAAATGAAACAAATAACTACTAAGACAACAATATGCAATGTATTAATTATTGAAACTGTGCTAGTAATCGGTTTTGAGACTATCTCATTGCTATTTGTTTCTCAATAAAATTATTTTTTAAAAAATGAGGAAGGAAGGAAGGAAGGAAGGAAGGAAGGAAGGAAGGAAGAAAGAAAGAAAGAAAGAAAGAAAGAAAGAAAGAAAGAAAGAAAGAAAGAAATGAGGGCCGGGGAGATGCCTCAGTGGAATAAGTGCTTCCCTGGCAAGTGCAAGGGCCTGAGTTCAATCCCCGGTTCCACCAAAAAAAAAAGAAGGAAAGAAATGAAATGAAAGTGCACAGGCATGAAAAGAGGAGGGGGATTGGCCAAGCATTGGCCGTGACTCATCCACATGGCTGCCGCTGACAAAGGTTCTACAATCTGAGGTACAGGATCTCAGGATAAATCCTGAGGGCATTTCACTGAGCTTCTCAGACCAAAAAGCTACAACTCTTGTTGCACAGGTCCTGCTTTACCTTGGTCTTAACCATCCAGTAGAAAAGTATGAAGATGAAATATAGGAAGTAAAGCCATGTTGTTATGTTGAGCTGTGGGGGACTCAGGTCAATAATTTCTGACATTGCCAGTTAAACAGAAGACCCAATGCTATTATGGGCTACTGGACTCTTTTAGAATACTTTGCTGAGTTTACACACCTATAATATTCAACAACGGAACTTAAAAAAAACTGGGATATAACTATGAATGTCCATTTTGTATCTGTGTATTCAAAGTGGTTGGGATAGATATATAGTTGCATTCTCTTAATGAATAGAATGATTTTTTCTAATGGTGTTTGTAAGTAGGATCACAAGTCTGCATCTTGTATAGCAATTAACCACTAAGAAGAATATATGCAGTGTATTATTTGTTGAAACTACTTTCGATTTGATTTGAAATTGTCTCATTGCTATATGTTTATCAATAAAACTTTGAAAAGAAAAAAAAAGAGGAGGGGGAGGGGCTTGTAAATCTTGAGAATGTGAGTTACCTGTACTCTGAGGGTTAGGTAGAGGTGTGCATTAATTAGGGTGGCTTCCCTAATTAATGACCTAGTCAGCTCAGCTTTGGGAGTTAATACTGTTCGTTCTGATATTTGTGTGAGTAACTGCAAGCTCCACTCCGTAGAGTTAGTGTCTCTGCGGAAGGTGGATGTGTTGTTGGTCATATTTTTCCTCTTGGAAGTTAAGTCAACACTAACAGTGGCTATATAACCACAGAATGGGCAGTTTCTTCAAGGTTTATGGTTTGGATTTTGTCCTGTAAAAGTTCCCACTTCTGTAGTTATATTTAGTGCTGTAATGGCCTGAATAGCTGGCTTGCTTTGGACCCCGTGTCAGGCAGCTCTGGGCCTGTTTACAGCCAACCTGGAGCACCTTGCTGGAACTCGGACCCTGGAGAACGCACTGCTTGGTGGGCAGCCTGTGGGCATCAGCCTCTCTCGCCTCTTCTCCAGAAAGATTCCTGACCTCGCACTGCAGCTTGATGCCACTTGGTCCTGCACTTCTGAAAATGGTTTATTCAGCGTTTCACATTTTTAAATATCTCAGTCCATGCACGCAACTGTAAAAGTCACGTGGTACCGTCATATCGTGCCCCCATCCCAATGCCTTTATGCAGATGCTACCCTTGCACATAATGTCAGTGCAGTTGTTTTCACACTGAAGAAACCATAAACATTTTATCCTCTAAAACTTTATTTTGAAAGACATAGGACCTTAAAATACATACGTGGCATTTCTGAAACTCATACCTAGTAGCCTCCCTACTTCTGTTAATTCTTAAGAGTTGAGTAAGGTTCCTGAGAGAGGCATCACATCGTTTCAGATAAACTTTTCAGCTCCAAGGCCATGTTATGTGGACTTCCAAGCAATCTTCGAAGTGTTAGGTTACAGCAGAAGCAGTACCATTAGCCATAGCGCAGCTCTCCTGCCCTCTCTGTAAGCTAAATGAATTTTCCGTAGATACAGGAAACAGATGCCAGAGGCGCAGCTGTGTGTTTCCCGGGGTGCGCTGCAGCCCGACAGGTCACGGCCAGTGTCGTCGCTCGGCCTCCTTTCTGTGCTGTAGCAACGGTTCCACTTCCTGTTGCACAGGAAACCCTGTGCCGCAGTGAGAAGAAGTCCCTGGGTGTATTTACCACAACGTGAAGACAATTTGTCCGTGGAAAAGATTTTTATTGTTCTGAGTCACTCTAGTTTGTGGAACTTTAATATGAGTTCCAAGACAAGGAGGAGAGGATGTATTTATTTTACTTTGTGTCCTCTTTAGTGTTTTGAATACGTAAGTGTAAGCCTTGTTGTCAAAGCTTTTCCACGTTTTTATTACTTTAAGAGTGACTGAC